TAAAGCCGAAGTGCAAAGTACAGTGCAAATACTACAAAGAAATGTTAACTTGGTAAAAGGGTATCGGCATGACCTATCCAAATTGATTCTTCAAAAAATGTTTGATAAAACACGGAGCTTTAGATTCTAATCAGTCTCAATTCCGATTTGGTTCTTCTCGTGGTGCAAGTTCTAGTTCTTGATTTACTAGCTAATCTTTTTACAAGATTCAATGTGTGAAGGTATGATAATATGCGTAACCATTGGTGAGTTTCCACTTAGAATAGTGGAAAGCGACCAAGTTCATAAAGAAATATCTCCAATCCAGGTACGAAAAATATTCTAGAAATATTCTTCGTTCAGATGCTATTAATTTATACAATAAAAATAGCTTGGATAATGAATTATTTAAATAAATATAGTGATGATTTATCATTTACACCTGAAATGTGAAGGGTAATTGAAAAAATAAAAAAAAAGTTACATCCTGCCACTGGTGCCCTAGCTGAATAAAATATAGGTAATATATTAAAAAATATATTGCTTTTAAAGTAATGAAGTTTTCTTGTGATGTTTCTAATATTTTAATACTTTAATGAGCATTATTAAAGAATTTAATTGTTAGAGGAAGATTTGTAGTTTTACATTTGGGTGGTTTTATTGTCACATCAATTTTTATTTGATACACCATATTTCAATTATAGTTAAATTCCTTGGTCTCATTATAGTAATTATTTTCTTAACTTTTATCGTCAAATTTTTATCTTCAACCTTTCATTAATTAGTACGTCTTGTCCTAGATAATAATTTATATCAAAATATTTTCATGGTTTTAAATGAGGGAAAATATTTTTTCGCACTATTTATTTATTTATTTAAAAATATGATGGGTAAAATAAGTTGTCTTACGCTATTTCAACAGATTTTGGACATAAAACTGTTATCAAATACAAAATGTGTTAACTAATTGAAAATTTGAGGATAAGAATGACATGAAAAATCATTAAGGACATAAGTGTTATAATGAGCAAAGATTAAAAACCTTAAATACAATTAAAATGTAGTTTTAGAAATAAAAATTGAAGTATGAATATAATTACTCTTTTTCATTTGAAAATGCATCAGTCAACAAAGTAATAATTGATAAATTAGCTCGACATCTTAATCTTTATTTTGGTGTTATTCTATTTCATATCCGTTGTGTTTGTCGTATTTTTAATATAATTATGCATGATGGGTTACAATTCATTGAAGTTGAGCTAGAAAAAAAATTAAAAATGCTCTTAACTTTATTGCGATGTTAATGAAAAACAAGTTTTCGATGAATTTTGTAAATAAAACGAACCAAA